ATCGGTTTGTTCTAAATTTGTTGATGATTGGCTCGGGTGACATTTCGTATGTATGTATATTATGAGATGTATTTGTTTTGCAGGAGAATGGAACTTTTCTGGAAGCCGGTGCGTTTGATGGGGAGTTTTTTTCAAACTCCTTGTATTTGGAAAGAAATTATGGATGGAGAGGGGTTTTAGTGGAGCCCATCACCAAGTTTTACAATGAAATCCTTTCCAAGAAGCGAAAAGCTGTGTTGCTGAATGCCTGTCTCAGTCCAAAACCGTGGTTTGAATATGTGAGTGTTGAAATTATTTCATTTGAGTCATTGTTGTTCTAGTCCACTATAGAATTTGTCATGATGCTCATAGTAGTATTGTTCATAGTAGTTGAACGCATAGTTGGACAACAAGAATACCTCAAACCTCTCTGAGTCAAAATGTTTGAAGTCCTGGCCCTTAGAACAACTACGTTAAAAACCTCTCTAATCCAGAGGCTTTTCCTTTCAAACCTTCATAACTCAATTTTTTTAGGCCTTCTGGCTATTATTCTCTTGATGTGGGAAAGATAAACGCAATGGAAAAGTAACTCAATGCTGTGTTTTGAAAGTAAGTAATAGAGTAATGATTGGGCAAATAAACCCTTACCTCCACATCCTGTCAACTCATTTGAGAAGCAATTCAATGCCTAGAATAACATATAAAATTTCTTGTAATTATTCTTTCTTCCCCCCCCCCCATGCTTTTTTCTGAAGCCTAATTCAATTTTTTTCTCTCTTGGAATTTATTGACTTGAATAAGAGGTTTAACTCTGTTATTATTTACTATCTTTGTAGCACTGTTTATGAATAAGGTCGTCAAAATTCAAATTTTTTCCCATATTTTCTGTTTACAAGGGTTTTTTTATGAATGTCAGCGATTTTGGCGGAATTTGCCGGGATATTCTGAGTTCGTGGTCTGTTTCAAGAAACCCCCCTTTTAATAACTTCATTTTCAGTCCCCTATTAAGAATTCAGTGAAATTGATAATCTTCGTGACTAATTGATTTGATTCTCTTGAATGCATTTTCCACGTGCGCAAGATCACGAGTAAAAAAAGTGAAGTTTATCGAGTAATGTGTTATCCACAGATGAACATGACGATCGTACGAAGTGGAATCTTCAGAATAGAAAGCATGAGTTCTTTGCATGGTTACAACATGGGTGACTTTGATCCCGAAAAACACGATCAAGAAACTGTGGAATGCTATCCAATTTTTGACGTGTTATCTGCTGCGAAACTCACGCAGCTCGACGTGCTCATGCTGGATGTCCAAGGAGCAGAAGAGGACATTTTGCGAACGATCCCTTGGCGTTTGGTCGACATCAGGGTAAGGGATCACGTGAGACACCACTGCGTTAATGTGGACATTTCTTGGGATCCGTTTTGAAGTATTTATGATAGGTGTCGCTCCTGCATGCATCAAAAATACGTTCAGAATCAAGTGGATGAAAGAGATAATTCTGAATGCTGAAATGAAAATGTGATTGAGTGCTTGCATTCAATTTAACTCAACCCGATTCCTAAAGTGACTGAGGTTTGTTTTTATGTGCGGTGATTTAGAAAAACAAACTTACCGTACGCTATTTTCTTTTTGCCATGTGCAATGTGAAAAGTTGTGTTTTTACTCATGGAAGAGCGACACCTACATGAAAGAACACCTTTCGTGCCTGCTTCAAGAGAAGCTTTGGGAATGAGTTGCACTGAGCATTCATTATATTTTAGAGGATCTGCACAGATGCGGCTAATTTTCCTTTTATTCTCTTGCAGGTAATATTAGTGGAGATTTCAAAGTTTGGAAAAGATCATCTGCCAAGAAAGTTATTCCATCAAGAGCAACGCTTAAAAGCCTTCCTGGGAAAACAAGGATACGACGTGAAAGCGGTCCTCGGACGGGATTTCATTTTTGTTCGCGAATGATCTGGAAATATTTTTAATTTCATTTCCCCACCTTTTGATTTTCCAAATGTAAGGTAAGTATTTCCTTTCTAAGTGCCTAACGGTAATCTAAGCAAACAGAACTGTTCACTCAACCTGATTAAACTGATATGAGTTCCTTTAATAGTGCCGCATGGTAACTTTTACGAGGGTCTTTACAAAAGTTTGTGCAATCATTCAAAAGAAGTCATAGAATTGAGCTGAAACAAATGTATTCTTTAGGGAAAACATATTCTTTGGCCAAAAAAAAAATCAGTCCTGTTCGACAATTTATTTCAATGTTTTACCAAATTCACCCTAGCAGAGTTTTGCTCTCCACTCAGAAGATGAGGCGCCCTTCCTGCAGATTTTTTTTGTTGTAGCCCAGCTTTTGACTCAGAATTTTTGAAATCAACCTGGCATTCTTTTCAAGGGTTGCCTCCAGATCTTCCAAGGCAATTCCGCCATTTTTCGCCTTCACAGCCGCCATTTGGTGGCTGTGAAGGCGGCTGTTGATTAAAATGGCGGAATTGAGAATGAGACTTTGGAATGATTCCACAAACGTTTGTCAAGATCCTCGTATAGTTGTAAGAGATCTATATGCATGATTCATGCGCTAGCGACATCTACAAAATGATGAACTGGCTAGTTTATGTTATCTTGAAGCATTTTAATGACAATCTTGAAGAAAATGTAACCCAACTGAATTCGTGAACTAAGTGAATGACCCTTTTAAAATGACAAAAAGTAGACCAGTGGTAACCCAGATAATGGAAACCGTCTAGAAATGGATTTATTCATTTATTGACTCTGTTGGTTATTCCCAACTTATTTTGTTCTGTGAATATATAGCTGAACCATTCTTCTAATGACAGACTGAATGAAGAGGGAATTTTCTCTTTGAATTAAAAATTGTTTGTGTGAAAAATCATGAAGTAGTAGATCTTTTTATGTTTACAAAAATGAAAAAGAAATATATTAAATACACTGTGATTTATAATCCAAAACAGGCTAATTTCGTGCTCCTTTTTCTGGAGTTATTTCCCTGAGCTGTGCAAAATATAGGGAGACTTGTGTTTTTTTTTAAACTTTTTAAGTCCTTTTAATGCCAAAAGATCAGATTTTGTGTGGTTTTCTTCTATACAGCTATTTTCTCTATTTTAAAGTGAAGAAAAATTAATTTTATTCAACTTTTGTGGGTGCTTCTTCCTCATTTTCAATCAACAGAAGAACCAGCAGGTACATATATTCCTGTCTAATTCTAAAGGAAAATAATGTGATGCAATGTGTGGTCATTCCAATATTGGGGCAAGTTCCAAGCACCATACTATATTTAATCAAAACGATGCTTCGTTTTTTCAAAATGTGTGTGAGGGAAAAGGGGGTGTGCATCATGTATGTATGTATGTGGTTATAACATTTTCAAAAAGTGTTAGAGGGTAATAGGTGTTCAATATATGTGATTCTAACAGAAAATGTATACCAATTTTATCAGAAAAACCTTTTTCATGGAAATAATTGTTAACCAGCTGAATTCAGGTTCAATTTATGTCTAAATTCAAATTAGATTGATTTCTTTTTCTTGAAATGCTGCAGTTTTAGAATTACTAAAAATGGGGTGCATTTCTCACTTGACCATATACATTTCACTCAAAATTTTAAACTTAGAAACCCCAAAAGTGTGTCTTAATTGAGGGTGCATGGTACTTCACTAAATAAGGTATGTCTACATGTGTATGGAGGCCAACAGTATGTGTAGTTAAAAAGAGCATGTAGTTAAAAAGAGCAAGTGACATCTGTATGAAGAGTAACAAGCTGAAGGACTCGAATCATGTGTTATGAGAAGATGAAAGCCTCGTCGTTTATTCATTGGAACTGGGTTTAGAATCTGAAGAGCTGGAATGTTCCACAACAGTTTTGCTGTATTTCTTCTGGACCATGGAGAAGGATCCCTCTAATTCTGCCCCGTGTGCCTGGCTGTCTTGTCTGGCCTTGAGGGATTCTTGTTCCAGCCTTCGGACAATTT